TATGTGATAATAGTTGCTCCTTTTTGACATAGCTTTCAATTTCTTATTTTAAATATAGGGTCCTACTAAGAACCACCTAATGAACTTACGTTAAGAATTAAATAATGTTAAACTCATATATTCCTATACATTTTACATATTTTAACACAATTTTTACACATATCAACATTAACCACTGCTCATTGGGCAGTGGTTAGCATATTCCTTAAATATATTCTCACGGCAGGGAAAATTAAGGAGGAATAAAGATGTCATACGTTCACCAAATTCAAGGTCCGAAACTACATGCAAAATATTACTTAATTTCAGATAATAAGGGCAAATTGTGAATAGGAAGGTTCCACAAATTAAAGAGGATTGCTAAGACTGTGGGTAGAGAATTAAACAGAAAAAATGCACCATTCAGACGTTCAAATTGATTTGTTAAACCACAAAAATCATTTAGACATTTGCACAAACATTACTTGGACCAAAACCTGCACATGCAGTTCACTATAGATTTTTTAATACCTCTACCAACACTTTCATTTTCCAGCATAATATGAAAATAAAAAATAGAGACAAGAACTCAATATAGTCATATTTACCTTATTTCCAAAGCACTCAGCATCCAAGGAGTGTGCATGCGCAACACTTTTGTGCAGCAATTGATGATACGCTGGGCGTTGATGCAAGCTTGGATGGAACAATACATATATAAACAAGAGTATTGTACAAGAAACATACTAAGAATAAACAAAAATAATGAGTAATGTTATACAAACAGTTTTTGTATAAAATTCTCATATGTAATAACCATGTATGTGACCTTCTGTGATATTTTCATTTCAAACCAAAACACCCGCCAGCATTCAGATATGTTTTCTACATAAAAATTCTGTTTGTAGATATTATCCAAAATTTATACAAAATGATGTGGCATGTTGTGAGCCTATCACTTAAAAAAAATAATAATAAAAAAAAAAAATCTAGATGCCTTTTAATTACAAAAATGTCTCTAACACATAATTCTGGTGGAAGATCATGTATAAAACTTCTAGAAAATAGTGTTTTACATAAAACATATTCTCATAATATTGAGAGGGGCACTGAAGTCTATGATGAGAACTTATTGCGACATTTTTTTTTCATTCTCACATTCATGGTTAGATATAGTGAGCAAAAATAAACTTTTCTCATCTCTTTACATCAAATTGATACATCAAAAACACAGTTGGTGCGCACCTTCCAGATTTGATTATTGACCTTTAATTTGCAAGCATCATAGAGACTGCAGAGTGCAAACTAAATGTTTTTGTTCCAAACTTGCATCTTTTACCAAGTTGAAGTTTCCCTCCTATCATATCATTCACAATACCGGAACCATCAGAGAAAACAAATGAATTTCCATTCTTAAAATTAGAGTGCTCTAAACAATTTTGTGCAGAAATGTAACTTTGAAGTTGAAAGTTCCATGTGCAATAGAAAATATGAACAAATTACAAAGACAACCCATGGTTGATCACTCAAGTAACGAAGTGTCCATCTGAATGAGGATGTATAATCGGATAGATGCTGAATGCATTATCAAAGAGCAGGTACAAAATTTAATTGCAAAATCAACTGATCAAATAAATTGGGAGTTTCAAGTATAAGGGCTGCAACCTAAGGACCTTGTATTTAAGACTTTAATGAGAAATAAAGACAAAACCCACCAATGATGACTAATTTAGAGATCTCAGAACTTTAATTTTGCCACCTCTGCCCTCAACTCCATCAGTAATTAAATTCCCACTACCTGTGCTTGATCCTTGCATTGCCATAGATGATACAGCTGATCCTTTAGCCTGAGCCCGTTTGCACCATTTCCCCAAATAAAAAAAAAAAATTGAATCTTCATCTACTATTATGTAATTTTCTCAAGCTTTCTAGGCTCTGCATTAACACAAATGTTCATAACTAAGCCTCAATTACTTATGTGCATATACATATATGTTGGATTGAAATGTGTGTGTGTGTGCGTGTATGTGTGTGTCTGTGTGAGAGAGAGAAAGGCTTACCTTAGTCGGTTTTCGTTTTGGGGCAAAACCCTAATAGCTCAATCGGAGGAGCGGGTTGAATCGGCAAAGGTATCTGAGACGCTTGTAAATACAGAAGATTATTCTTAACTCACATATGCAAATCAATAAAACCGACATAATAAATGTATACTGAAAGCATATCAATGAATACCATAATTCTCCGTACCTCTGCAAAAGATAAGGCTGCTAGCTGTCGTCACTCGCTGCTCACCGTCGTTGCTCGCTGCTCGCCATCGTCCCCCCTTGCTGCTACTGCCACTGCCGCTGCTTGCAGACGTGAGAGAGAGAGAGAGTATTTTGGACATTTTTGAAATTGGGGATTTTTTTTGTTTAAGGGGTCAGGGATTGGAGATTTGAGTTGGTGAGAAAAAACGGGGGGAAAGGAAGGGGGGAATTTGGATAGAAAGAGGGGGAAATGAAAAGAACAGAAGAAAAGAAGAGGAGAGGTGGTGTGAATGATGTGGTTTTATTCTATTTTATTTATTTTTTTATTTTTATTTTTTTTGTAGTTAATGAATTTTTTTTTATTTTTGATTTTTTTTTAGTTACTAAGGCTGAAAATTTATTTGTTTTATTTTTATTTTAATGAAAAAAACTATTATTATTTTTATTTAGTAGAAGTTAGGGTAATATTTTAATAATAATGAAAAATTATTATTACTTTTTGCTGAAAATAAGTTTTTGGCGACCAAACTTTTGGTCGCCAAAGAAAAAAAATAATATTTTATTTTCCATTTGGCGACTAAACTATTTTAGTAGCCAAAATTCAATATACGGTGACTAAAATATTTTTAGTCGCTAAAAAAAAGTTTTTTGGCAACCAAAATTTTGGTCGCCAAAAGATAAAAAATAATTTTTTATTTCTATTCGACGACTACATTGTTTTAGTAGCCAAAACCAAATATACAACGACTAAAATATTTTTTGTCGCTAAAAACAAGTTTTTGGCGACCAAACTTTTGGTCGCCAATTCCACAACCAACTTATTTTTAATATTCCGCGACCAACTTATTTTTTGGTCACCAAAATGTGACCTTCTGCGACCAAATTTGTAGTTGGTTGCCAAAACTATACCACTTTCTGCGACCAACTCATTTTTTGGTCGCCAAAAAATGACCTTTTGCGACGAACTCATATTGGTCGCCAAAAATGGTGATCATTCGCGACTAATAAATTTTTGGTCGCCAAAAGGTAACTTTTAGCTACCAACTTTTATATTGGTCGTGCAAAGTGGTCGCTAAAAGTGCAGATTCTTGTAGTGCATTATGTGAAAACTTGTGACAATTAAAGTTTTAATGTAAAATTTCACTTTGATTTCATAATAGATATTGAAATATTTGCAATTGGTCTTCAATTTCACAATTGTTAGACATTAATTGAAAATTTCATAGTGTTCAACACAATGAAATTTCACTGTCTTAGGTTAATAAAATTTCGTCAATTTTTTTTTGTAGAATTTTGTATTCATCAATGATCTTGTTTTACAGATCTAAATGAAATGATTCCAAAAGTATAAATTTTGATCTCAATAAAAAAATTATAAAAATTTGAAATTTTCAAATAAATTAAAAAAGTAATAAGTGTTAGCTGAAGTAGAGTGGTGGGAATATTTTGCCATCGTGCGTTTTGGAGTGCTGCTAATAGCCCCTACTTTTTTACTTTGGATCCTCACATTTTTCAATTTTTTTTTTTTATTACAATTTTAACATAGCACAAAATTTCAATTTTATCCCCATCATCCCTAACCTCCCAAACCCAACTCTACCCTCACCATTCCAAACCAACAAGCTCCGATGCACTCTTCTCGTCATTCCTCCTACAACCCAACCCCGTCGCCATCATCTCTCTCACCTACAACCACCACTTCTACATCCTTCAAAATCTAACAATCTCTTTCTTCTTTACGTAACCAATCACAATTTATTTCCCTCTCCATCGACCTTTGTGACCACCGCCCTCTTTTGCAATTTACCTAGATCTAATTAGGCAATCTATAACCAAACCACCATTATTTGTTCGGTGATATGTGTTCGAACTATTGACATTTGTTTGGTTGTTCTGTAGTCTATGATCGAACCACCACAATTTCTTTGGTGGTGTACATCCAAACTAACATCGTTTGTTTGGCACTGGTTTTTCGAACTAAGCGTTACAACTTACATCTCTTTCTATCTGTGTGTGGTAAGACTTGTAGGGGTGACAAAACTGTTAAGGTAATAGAGAGTGGCAAAGAATGAGTGACGGAGGACAAAGAGAGAGGAAGAGATTTGGAAATGACAGTAAAGAACTACGCTATAAAATTGGGAGTCGATGATGATCTGTAGGAGAATCTGTAGAGGAATGATTGGAGAGGTAGAGTGGGGATGGAGTTACAAAATATGAGTAATGTTTTGAAAATTATGGTAGAGGTTCAAAATAAATGAGGTGAGGAACTATTTTAATAGATGAGAGTTCAAAGAAATAAGGGAGGAAGAGGTCCTAAAAATTATACTAATATAAAAAATTGCGTTGTTCTTATCATTCTAAAAAAACATTGCTGGGGATTTGGCAAATATATATATATATATATTCAATTATTCTTTTTTTTTTTTTTCCTCACAAATGATCTTTTAATTAATTTATTTGTTTTCTTTTTAATAATGTTACATCCAAAAGCCCACAGGATTAAAAACTCTTAGATCATCTTGTCCACTATGGGGAAATATACTTTGGTCCAGGAATAGCACAAGTTTGTGCTAAAATTGAATATCTTACCTTCACCATAAAGTTAACTTATTATCGGATTGACCTAGACTAAATTTAACAATCTAACAGTTCATCTTATACAACTAATTAATAAAATTACACATTCAAAAATATCAAATCTAATATTAATTGTCATACTAATACATTATTTTAATCTATACGGCATACATATTTTTTAAAAGTAAACCATGCATATGTTATAATATATCTACATGTATATATATATAATTTAATTATATAATTATTTATATCTGAACAACTTAACTTATTGTATAAAATAAACAGTTCAAATCATTAATACGAGGACAGATTAGTCTCATAATACACCAACTTCACTTTTAAAATTGCAATTTTCTAACTTCAACAAATCTGAACTCAGAGCAACACCACGTGGTATTCAATTCCCATTGCTTAACCCCCCTGCTGATGAGGTTATGTCAAGCCATTACTGTCCATTCATCAAACCATTCACCAATCAATGTGCTCTTGCAGCACAAGCTATCTTGGACCACCCGATAACTTCTCATCCTGGTAAATCACAAAAGCAAGATTTAAAAGCAACAAAAACCCTACAATTTACCTTCACAGAAAAAGCATATTAACATGAGCTCATCAGCCTAAAAATAAAAAATTTTCAACATCTTATTGTTCAAACTTTCACAAATTTCAAATTACAGTTTTTTTTTTTTTTTTTTTTATCAGGTGTTTATTTTTTTATTTTTTTTCAATTTCTTGTTCAAAATTTTCCTATATACAAGTTACAATCCAGAGCAGAACAGGAATGTGCCTCTCCAAGCTTGACAACTCCCTCAAAAGAAATGCCAGGCAGAGCCCCAAAACAAAGCCTAATAAAAATTCACCAGCCAGCAGCCCTCTCATAGATGCACAACAAACCCCATAACTATACTCTATATTTACACCCAGGGAAAAAGAAAAAAAAAACTAATCTTAATTTGGCCGCTAACTTCCGCTTCGTTCCTCTATAAGTTGTTAGACCAGTTTTCAGAAATTGGGGCATTATCATCACCTAATAATAGTGCCCGGGGAAGAAGACAAGGCATCACTGCCGCGCGGGCTATTGATTATATCCTCTTTTGCCAAATTAGCCTTCCCTTTGGCACGGAAGTCATCCAAGCTCCGATATTCTTCCCTCAGCAACCTATCCAATTCCGGATGCTTCTTTATCGGTACTTTCTGTTCACCAGCTTTTCGATAATGGTGAAATGCCCTGCCACAAACATAAATTTCAAATTTTGGTATCTATTTCAAGCCGCATGTAACAAATAGTTCAATATGCTTAAAGTAATGATAAACATAAATTCAAAAAAGATAAACTTCCTCCTGTATTATTTGAATAAAGTTCTTGGAAATCAGAATCGAATTTGAATATAAAATTAAAGAAAAATAATAAGGGAAAGGAATGGTTAAAACATTTAGCTTTTCAAACTAGAACATATGAAATGGGACTTCCAAAAACAAAGAGTTGGACACATAAAATGGGATGGAAGGAGTAATTACCATCACAACACGCTTTATAGTAAAATTATACTAAAATATATACATTTTTTTGAGAATATCAATTGTCATAATTGTACTTTTTATGTTATTAATGAATTTAAAAGGAGTAAAAAAGTAAATTCATATTATTTTATTCCTTGATTTTTGAAAAGGGACTAATATTTTGGAACAATAAAAAATGGAACACGGAACTAATATTTTGAGACGGAGGGAGTATATTTATATACAAACACAAGAATGATTAATTTTTTACAATTAATTATTCTTGAAATGTCAAGCATATCTACCTTTTCTGATAAGAAATTTCAACTATACCGGACTCTCTGGATGATCAAACAATAGTTTATCAACATAAAATGGAAAAGCAAGGTTAAGATCAGAATGGAAAGATTAGCGTGTCAGGTATCATTTTCATTTTCGAAGTTCAACATTTCAACCATACTCCAGAGTCTGGATGATCACACAATAGTACATCAAAATAAAATGGAAAATCAAGGTTCATATCAGGATGAAAAGATCAACTTATTGGGTATCCTTTTCATTTTGGATGTTCTCTTTTTCTGTTTTCGTGTTTTCATATACAAAAAGAACGAAAAGTTTGAAAACACCCATTGCTTTCATGTTTGTGCTAACAGTCTCGACAATTCAGAAAAAACTTCTTAAAACTCTTTCCTAAAAAGGGTGTTTTCAAAGAATTTTCACAAACAGTTTTCAAAAACACAAATGAAAATGATACCAAATGCGGTTCTGGATAAAAATGGTACCTCTCTGTGATTTAAACTTCTAAGACCATCTTCAAGGAAAGGTTATATTCTAATTTTTTTTTTTAAATTTAAAAAATGGTTTTGTTAGCATTGCTACGACACAAGTATCAAAACTCATAACATTTTCATACTGACTTATGGCACGACATCCAAAGAATAAAATCACAAAACAAATTGGTGGGCCCTAAAAAATTAAAGAGAAGATCAACAGCAATAACAAACTGCCTATGTCATGTGAATATGAACCCATCCTCAATATTTACCAGGTAAACATTTTTAACCAAATGATCATATGCATCCATGACTAAAGAAGGTATATCTATTTAACTATCACATCATTAGCCACACCTCACAATCATGTGCGAGATGATGTTGGACACGTTTACAAAACTTGGGACAACGCTACCTTCAAGTGGATTTGCGGTAGGTTGTGGGAATGAAAAGTTGCTAGGGTAGAGTTCTATTAAAAGAAGGCTTCTAGGGTTTTTCTAAGAAATAAGGTGTGTTTCGGGGTTAATTTACAAAGCGAGTAGTTGTGTGATTTTCAGGAATTATGTGCTAGACTAAACATTCAGGTCATCTTCATCTCTGAAGCATTCAGAGACTTCATGATCTTCATCATACAGTATCATAGCCACAAAAATGGACACAAGAAACTCTTCTTTTCTTCAACAGATTTTTGCTACAGCACCCTTGTGAAGGTCAACTTCTTTCAAGGAATCATAAGAGCTGGATAAGGGGATCCTTAGCCCTTAGAATTATTCTAAGGACTAAGGTTGTCCAGATTAGATGGCTATGACCTGGTAAATCTTTATGTCAGGGCACACTTAATTCATACAAAGATAATTTCCAACTTTCTGTGTTTAATTGTATTCACTTTCTCCAGTCTGCCTAACACATTATTAATCAGTTCATTCATGTCGTATTCAAACTATTTTTTTTTTAATTTATCTAGTATGATGTTAATGTAAATCTTTCAGTGCAAACCATAAAATGGTCAAATAATTCATTATATGACCACACATCTGCTTATAATTGGAGGCAACCAACTTAAATTGGAATCCATGGTTGTAGAAAAGGCTTTTTTGTTCAAATCCTTTCATTTTAAGGAATTGGTTGGTCCATAGTAGAAAGATTTGGAAAGAAAAGAAAAGGGCAATCAAAAACAAAAAGCACATTCAATGAACATGTATAGTTACCAATATTTTTCAAGGCCATAAAGATTTCCTTTACTGTAGAAATCAAGGGTCAGCTGCTCAAAGTCCTGGTAGAGGTCCTCTCTGAATTCCTTCTCCAATCCATAACTGAAACAAGAAACGAAGCAAAACTGTAATCATAACTCTTGTATAAATAAAAGGCACAAAAAATATATCATCTTGAATAAGCATAAGCTTCTACTTAGGAGATCACCGACAAGAATAATAAAATTTAAAAAAAAAAAAAAAGAAAAGAAAATGTGATAGTTTGAGGCAAAGATGAAAACTTCAAACTCGGCCTCAAGAATAACCAACAAAATTTCAACTGAAAAGAAATGGTATTGGAATGATACCTATAGAACCTGAAAAGGCATTCTACTCCATAATTATAATTAGCAGTTGCATCTTCCATTGCCAATTTCCGGAATTCATTGTACATAGAGGGGACAAAGATGTTTCTAAGGAAATATGACCAAAACCTGTACAATGTGTTCATTTCCTGCATGGTAGAAGATAAAAATTCTTATTCAGAAAATACTACGCACTCCATAATATTTTAAACCTAGAGTGAAATAAAGTTCAAACAAGGTTGTGAACATGCAAGCGTGCATATGAGAGAGAGAGAGAGAGAGCATGCACATATATAAGGCTGCACTTATTGTCAGACTATCAAATACCCCTAAAGCTTAAGCTGTTAGGGAATATAAGCATGCACAAATAAAAGGCTTCAATGTATATGTATATCAAGCTCACACCATCCGTCATCAACTGTGAGTGTAACCCCCTCTCATGCGTGGAGGGACGACCAGCTAATGCACAAACTAAACTCAATAGTGTGCATGAACACAAAGCAATAAAGTGACAAGACTTGAACCTAGGTCCTGTTGATCCAAAGTTTTCATACCATGTTAGATCACTTACTGCCCCAAAAGCTTTAATTTTCAAGGGGCTGGGCCCAACAATGTACTTCAAACTCTCACCATAATTATAACTACAATAAAAACACATTTTAGCAACTTTTATAAAACAAGTAAAACAACTTCTTTTCTTCAAGGTAACCTTTCCATAGCCTTCACTTAATATACATACCCTCAACTTATCAAATGATCTTTCTTTCCCTCATCAAAACTCTGCCACAAAAAGTCCATCTCCGCAATTTTTTTGGCCACCGCCACTAAAATTTTAAACAAAGATAAGAAATAAATAGATACATTGGATAAAACGGATTGAACCATAGTATACCTACCCTTCAGAAATCAAAGCCCTATTCCACCCTTCCAACCTTTTCCCTATCTTCTCAACTATTGGATCCTAGAAACTAACAATCCTCGGTTGCCCCTCAAGGCAAGACTTAGATAATTCAGTGGTAAAGATTCAATAGAGCATTATAAGATCCCAACAAACCAACACAATTTTCTTGTGACAAATTGATATCCACCACAGCACTCTTACCCAAATGCTGCACAGAAATTATTTCAAAAATTCTCAAAAACAATACATAAATTGACAATTTTCTCCTCATCACTAGAAGAGAATGGATAGCTACCATTTGCAAAATGTAAATGAGATACAGATATACTACCCCTCCCAATTACACAATTGTCAACCATATCAATTTCCTTGCCCTATCCACTAGTTTACCCAAACATCAGCTACCAAGTGAACAAAAAAATGGGAGAATGGGTTGCCATGCCTTGAGCCCTTGAAGCCTTCAAACACTCACCTGGCTTACCATTAACAATAACAAAGAAATTACATGAAGAAAAACAACCCCAAATCCACTTCCTCCACCTATCTCCTTGCTCCTTTTCAGCATAACAAAATCTATAATTCCCTGTCCACATGATCGTATGTTTTCTTTAAGTCAGCCTTAAACATAACTCCTTTTTTTTGTACTCCTATACTCTGCCAATGCCTCCTTTGCTATCAAGGCTACATCCCATATCTGTCGTCAGCGCCCTAAGAAGAGGAAATGGTATCCTTCAAAACTTCCCTCAACCTTCTAGACAATACCTTTGCCAAAATTTTATACACTAAAGTAACTAAACTAATCAGCCTAAAATCCATGCTCTTCAAGAAGTTCTCCTTTTTAGGTATCAAATAAATAAAGTTGACATTAGGACAAGTATCCACAACCCATTATCAAAAAATTCAACAAATACCTTTACCAAATCATTTTTAACCACCTCCAAGCAATCTTGAAAAACAGCCATAGAGAACCCATTAGGACCTAGAGATTTATCCCTCTCACGCTCAAAATTTGCTGCCCTGATTTCCATACCATCAAAAGGTATTTCCGGTCAACAAGACTATTGATCATCAATTGGAAAAAATCAAAACCTTCAATCCATGGCCTTAAACCCACCCAAAGAAAACAACCCTGAATAAAATGAAAAAAGATTCAGAACAATTTGATCCTCCCTATCTGCAAACACACCAGCATCATTTCCTAATATTTCAATGAACTTTGTTCTTTTCCCAATTACCTTCACCCACTTAAACCTACTCCACTAAACCTAACCCACTACACCACTATCACTTCACCTACTCCTTACCTACTACACACTCACCCTCTTCTATATATAGGAATCATGAATCATTGTAATAGAAATCAATATATATGAATCAATAATACAATCATTTCTCTTTATACATTAAATTTCTACAGAAAACAACCCTGAATAAAATGAAAAAAGATTCAGAACAATTTGATCCTCCCTATCTGCAAACACACCAGCATCATTTCCTAATATTTCAATGAACTTTGTTCTTTTCCCAATTACAAGTGAAATTTTTTTGAATTAACGTCCCCCTCTTCCTCTTTTACCCCTTTGCCTAAAAGAAATTGATTTGCAGAACATAACTTCCTCAAATTTAATCATAAAGAATAAGATCAGGCCTTTCTTCTACTCTAAATATATCATCAAATACCTCACTGCTATCGAGCTCTTCAATCCTTCTCACAATCCCATTTTTCACATCTCTCAAATCCCAACACCACCTACTTATTCCACACCTGGCTTATCCTTCACCACCTTAAGCTTTTTCATAAATTTGAAACATTCCAAACCTTGGATTCTACAACTTCTCCATCCCCCTCAAAAAACTCTTACAAGATGAGGCATGAACCACATGTTTCAAACATAACAGCAGTGGAAACCCATTAAAAGGAGAACTTTAAGCACCACAAGACAATGATTAGAAACTACTCTAGGGAGCGCTTCCATTGAAAGAGAAGAAAAGGAAGAAAAGAGCAGTGGAGAAGAATAACTGTCGAATGATAAATTAACATGAAAGAGCCCGATTCCATGATCATTAAAATTCCCTCTAAAAAATTTGTTTCTCACCAACGTCCTTCAATTTATATACTTACGCGCTCAACTCAGTGTCATCTTGAACTCTACGGATGCAACTCTGTTTCTCATAATGGCATGTAATTCTTGAAAACTCCTGATTGTTATCTCTTGGACATGGTGTTTCCAATCCCCCTAAATGCTCTCTTCATAACGTCAGCCCAATAACATTTCTTATGACTCATACGTAACTTGTATGACTGTTAGGCCTTTAAGCAACCAGGCCCAAACTTCTAAGTGGGTTGTAAAACAACTACGATAAAAGAGCAACCCAACTTCTAAACTCTTCCATGCACATTGGCACAACCCTGCCGCATTCTCTTCCTCTCAAACAAACCATCCAATTAATTACACCAAACCCCAACCTACCCCTACATAGATTAAGACCACAACTACCACACGCCACCATCTTCCACTTCTCCAGTGATGCTAAAATGCCATTTCTGACACTTCAACAATAGCAAAATCCTGTGTCATTGACCACCCCACCACAATCCAAATCCACTATCTCCACCACTTCCTAGCACTGACATCAATGCCAATGGCTAGCGCTCTATGGGCAGGCTCTCCTGAAGCATTGATGTTGTTGACCTTGGGTTTGCACAGAGACTCTCAATGGAGCAAGAAAAATCCATGGTAACTCTTGATGGAGCAAAGAAAATTCTCGGTGCACGTAGTAAGGTTGGACCGCGACAAGATGGCTCTCAATGGAGTATGGTGGCTCACAATGGAGTGTGTGTGGGTGGCCCAAGCTAGACTCAATGTTGGAGAGTTATAGATCAAGATTAAAAGGGAACCTACAGATGATAGATCAAACTCTCAAAGGGAAGCAAAGATGTTTGATTCACACATATAGGGAAGATTGTTGGAGCATGTGTGAAGGTAGAGTTCCACATCGGATAAAGAGTAAAAGAAATGTGTCTTAATATACATCAGATGGGCTCTCTACTTATAGGCTTAAGCTTTTAAGTAGATATGACTTCCAAATAATGTATGTTGGCCTTGATGTGACATCTATGACTCTAGAGTTTCTCCCTGTAAGTTTGGGCCAATATTGGTGTGTGCTTATGGACTCCCTAATTCCCTAAAAACAGAAATCACGAAAGAACAATCGTGGAACCACAAACCTCAAAAAAACAACTTTCAATATAAAGCAACCATAAATCCCCCCCTCCAATCTCAATACCACTCCCATACCAGCTTCCAAAATCTCCTTATTAGATCCTAATCTCTACAATAAAGCCTCCTCTTTACCAAATTTCCCCTTACTACTACTATCAAAACCTTCCCATCCCAACAATGTCCTTGCCCCCAACCTGTTGTCACCTATTATGAAGCATAGACACAAACACAGACACGGACACGGATACGAACAAAAACACGGACACAGACACGGATACGAACACAAACACGGACACAGACACGGACATGGCAAAAAAAAAATTTAATAAATATTTTTAGTTTAATACACGTTAATAAAATACACAGACACGGATGAGACTTAAGGCTTGGTTTGGTTTGGTTTGGTTTGGTTTGGTTTAATACACGTTAATTATTTTATTTATTTATTATATTTTTTAAATAATGTGTTCCATTTAATTTTTTTATTTTACATAGATATGTGTTTTTTTATTAATATATATAGTATATTATCTTTTGGGATGGTCAAATACAATTTTCAACAAAATATTCAACTTTTTGCAAGGCACAGGTACAACAAGAAGCAGGATCCACTAGCTACCAAAGAAGAGAACACCCAGCTAGATTCCACTAGCTGCCAAGGAAGAGAAGAGTCAAGTAATAATAAGCAAAAGAATTTCAGTTTGAGAGAGAGCGAGAGAGAGAGAGAGAGAGACGAAAGGATAAAAGAAGATGAGAGAGAGAGAGAGAGAGAGAGGGGAGGGGAGAAACACGAAGTCAGCCAGACAAGGGAGAAGAGAGCGAGACGAGAGGCGAGCCAGAGAAGAGAGAGAAGAGACTTACCAGGTCGAGAGGTGATGGAGCTCGACTGGAGATGGAGATCAATGGAGATCGAGATGGAGATGAACACATTCGGATTTCCCTTCCCTCTTTTCCTTTTGATTTTGGATTTAGCTCTCTTCTTCTCCTCTTTCTTCGAATTAAAGTTTTCTGTTTTGTCCCGTTGTTGTGTCCCACCGTGCCCCATACCAAATAAATAAATTAATTAAATGTGTCCCCCGCGTGTCCGCATGTCCCCGACGTGTCTTCGTTCCCAACACCGCTACGACACTAGTTCTGCCGTGTCCATGCTTCATAGGTCGTCACCATTTTTTAAAATCATCCCCTACAAAACAAGATCCTGAACTCCCAACCCCTCCTTCCCCTCTCCTACCCCACCTCCTCCAACACCCATTCAATCTTCAAGCAAAACCAAAATTCACCCCCCCAAAAAAAGAAAACACAAATTTGAACTTGAAGCAAAAAACCATCCCTTTATTTTTATTTTTTTTATTAGCAACAAACAAAGATTTTATTAAGGCACAAAGCCAAAAGCATGGAGGATAAGGCATCCTCTAAAAAAAGTACAAGTTAAAAATAACAAAAACGACAAAAAGAGGCAAAACCCAAAATGATTAAAAATAAAAAATAAAAAAAACAAAAAAAAAAAACACCACATATCACAAACTGACACCCAATCTGCTGCAATCATAAAGAGAGGAATTCCTTTGAACAAAGGACTCCCTCACACAAAACGATGCTAAATGTTGAACTTTATCCTATAAAAAATCAACATCCCGATATTCTTCTTCAAAAAAAAGGCCCATTTCTCTCTAACCAAATGACCCAGAAAATTGCAAAGATAGTACAACGCCAAAGCACCTTGGCCCTCTTCAACCGGCCCAATACTTGAAAATCAATTAAAGCCATTTGTGCACTTTCTTTTGGAGCCACCCACATAACATTCCCCAAACAAAACAACACTTGCCATAAGCTCGCTACCACCGAACAATGCAAAAATAAATGATCCAAATGGGAAGGCCTCCTTTGCAATGTATCATTTGTTAACATGCCTCTATGAACCAAAATCCACATGAACATCTTTATCTTAAGAGGAACACAAGTACTCCATATCTTCTTGTGAAAAGGGAACAAAGGTATATGAGACTTATCAATGAGTTTGTCGAAAAAAGATTTACAAGAAAAGGAGTTCGAAGAATGAACAGCCCAAACCCACTTGTCCTCTAAAGTCGAAACCAAAGAGACATGTTCAAGTCTTGACAAAAGATCCACCAATTCCCCAACCGCCCTATCATTAAGATTTCTAGGAAAATTAAAATTCCAAGAAATTGGAGCCAAAGATGAGCATGCTATGGAAGCAGAAAACCATCCTCACACTAAAATAGCGACCCATATCGATCAACAAAGAGAGACACAAAGATACAAATAAGAACTTTATAAATATCATTTCCATATCCTTCTGAGCCGAGCTTTGCTAAGCTCGAGCTTGGCTCATTTATTTATGAAGCTCAATTATCCAGCTGAAGCTCAACTCGATAACTAATCGAGCTCAACTCGAAGCTCAATAATTTTTTTTTATTATTATTTAAATATATAAATAATATACTTGTATATTATTTAAATATATAAATAATATACTTATATATTATTTAATAAAAACTTAAATAAAAATATTATTTATATTATTTTAACATATAAATAATATAGTTATGCTATTATTTATAAATATTTTATATTATTTAATATATAAATAATATATTTATTTTATAATTTAAATAAAGATAAATGAATCAAACTTGACAAGACGAGCTTATTCGAGCTCCAGCTTGGCTCGTTTATTAAACGAGCCTCAAAATCAAGCTCGAGCTTGTTCATTTACTTAACAAACTAAGCCGAGCCAAGCCCTTAACAAGCCGAGCTCGCAAGCAACTCGGTTATTTTGCATCCCTATACAAGTAATTGGCTCTGTTTGGTGCAGCTTAAGGGGATGCTTATGGCTTTTTATATTGGGAATTTGTACCAGAGGGTTTGGTGCAGCTTTTGCTTATTGCTATAAGGCAAAAATAGCTTAAAATAGCTGAACAAATATGATTATTGGGAGGCTAAAAGCTGATATTAAAAAACAAAAACTATACTAAAAGCACCTCCCTTAGCTTCTCTCAATAATCAGCTTTCTTCAAATTATTCAAGTTGTTTTTGCATTATATAAGCGGTGAGCCGTAAACAAAAGCTATACCAAACACTAGCACAAATTCCCAAAATAAATAAATAATTGTAAGTAACCCTATAAGTTGCACCAAATAAGGTAAATGTCTTTAAGATATGAATACTTCATTAGCATGGGATAATTACTAGTAAAATATGGAACCACGCAGGTTCCTTGACAATTTTAAAAGGTAAACAAGTAACAATGCACAAAGAAAATAAAAAATAAATGAGCATAAAGGGGAACCAACCCAAAATCTTTGATCAAGGTCACAAAAACAAACATAAAAGAATATATATATATATATTAAAAAAATAGAAGATGGCATTGCTTATTTGGCCTCAGTAAGAGTAAAAGAGAGAGAGAGAGATCGAAACAGAAACAGTAAGGAAAGGATTGTATCAAGAAGCAGAATCCTCATTCCTCTAAAAACAATCAGAAGTACACAACTCCCACATATTAGCTTTCATATTAAAATTAAGATGCAGTGAGAGAATTTTTGAGAAGTAACCTCACTGCAACCAATTCCCAATTTCTTTCGGTCATTAAGGCACCGCGTTTGATATTTCAGGTACCTACATGGGAAGAGCAAGCACATGAGAAAACCTTCAGAAATGAGGGACTTCACAGATATACATATAGAATGTATCACCTCAATTCATTAGATTTTCACATTTTTAATTATTTTTAGTACATTTATGATACCCACATAAATGATTTGCTATTGGTATTGAATTTATATGGGTTCCAACCCAACAATCAGAAATTACTTTCTACTATTACCTCTTTACCATTTTTTTCATCATCCTCAATAATTTCAGGTCTATATTAACCAAATGAAGAGCAAAAAACTGGATGGGTCAACCATACCAATAAATATGATAACAAGCCAAATATCTAAAGTATGAATGCATTTAGATTTCGTCATTCTGGAGAAGTGAACACATATTTCTTTTCAATCTCGAAACTTTATATTGTAAGTGGAAATCAAATAGTCTAAATTCAAATGGAAGAAATAGTTGAAATTAATTAAAAGGAGGAGAAGGAGGTTGTAGCAAGTTTGTCCTGTCTAATTCTTAATGGCCTATAGTGACCATTACAGCATTGTAATGAACAGAACTGGCCATAACAATCAATACAGCTCTAAGTTCTATTATGATTGACGCATTAATCTGTAATAGTGATGGAGAGCTTCAATACAGTAGCATGACAATCAGCCAATTTTTAAAACAATGATAACACACATGAATATCTATGCGCCCAAAACAACTCTCCTTACTTTTGCTGTTTGAAGCCATTTTCTTCCAACAGCTGATGACTTGGATGCTGAAATGGTGGAAATGGCTTTGGCATGGAACCAACAGGCGGACTGTTTCCAGAAAGATTAACATGAGGAGAAGCACTCAACTTTGACGACCTCAGTCTGTAAAATTGTGGTTCAATTATGAATTAACAAAGTAAGAGAACAATAAATTATTCAAGCAACTTGGTAAATGTATTTTTAATCTTTCCATCCTTGACTTTTGAACTCAAATTCAACTTTTCACTCTCACATGAAAAAACAAAGTACTTTTGAAATGCTAACAAAACAGTAACTTAGCTAAACCAACATATCCACAAATTATGTTATTTTGAACTCACCCATGACTTTCAGGAGGCGTAGAACCAAAGAAAAACCCAACTGAAAAACTAGGTGGACTCTCGGATATAACACCAGAATTACGGCCAGTTCCATGATTTTTAAAGTTGCTAGGAAATAACCGTTGTTGCTGCTTGGAAAAGCCTTTATTTTGTTTCCTTCGGAAATTAGCATTTCCAGGCCCTTCACAGCCACTACTACCCGCTGAATGTTCACTAGCCCTTGAATTTGTAGCTGCCACAGCAACACTGGAGGATTTGTTGTTCCCATCTCTACTCTCACTACTTGAATTTTTTCTACGATTAGATCGCTTAGCTTTCAATTCCTGGCAATAGCATATAAATTAGGACATCTTTTGTAATGTTTTATCAAGAATTTTCAAAATAACATAAATGCAGAAGAACAAGAGCAAAGGCCCATCAACCTGCTCATAGAAGTAAAGGCCGTCATTTATAGCATAAGCAAGCTCATTAGATATGGACTTTGACTCGTTTACACCAATTCCAGATCCTCCACCTGTTCCACTATTCTGCACAGCCAATAAAGTACCATTAGTTATCAGATACCAACAGATTAAGAATAACATAGATGATAGATTCCATTCTTTTTAACATAAAGAGATCATGAAAGCCTCAATGAGCCATCACAACAGAATAAAGACATAATAAGATAAGTTAACTATCAAGATAGAAATTGACATTATATATTGCAAGCTGCCTGAACAGTTATAAAAAATAAAAAATAAAAAATAAAATCACACAGAGAAAGAAGAAAAGATAAAGCACCTAATCAAAGCACAACTTGAGAGAGAGAGAGAGAGAGAGAGAGACTTCTATAAAGACGCTTGAATTTGAGAAGAACAATCAAGTGAATGCCTTCATATGGCAAGCTACTAGGTGTGATTGATAAGATGAAGCAGTGTTCAACCCTCGTGGGGATGCATCCATATATATATAAAGCATGGTTGTTAGAATTGTGCGATTCATGATTCGATACAACTTTCAATTCATGATTCGATACAACTTTCAAGCAAAACAATCCAAATCATGTTGATGAATCTTAAATTAAGTGAATTTCAATTTGCAATTCAATTCTATTCATGGATTTGTTTGCACAATCCATGCAATAACATCATTTTCACATCAAAAAATAAAAAATAGACCAGTTAGTTATATTGATATATATGATTTTAGTTATATTAATATTTATTTCATTTTAAACAGGATGTATTTTTATATGTATATACATACATAAATTATATATTATTAAAATTAAAGTGAATCTTATGATTCACAATTCAATTAGCGATTTGACAACAATGATATAAAGCGCCTTTTAAATAAGACAAAAATGAAGATAAATTGTGATCAATCCAGTATTAGTCATCCAAGAAATGTTGTTATAGGAAAAGGCGGGTGGAGAGAAATGGAAATCAAAGTCAAAAGGCGCGAAAGCACCTTTTTGTGAAAATGGTTTGTTATTGAGGCATTTCAGTGGTGAAGGTTTCATAGGTTGTAAGGGGTATTGGATCTATTTTTGTATTTTTTTCCTCCTCTTATTTTCTTTCTATTTCTTTTTATTTGGTTGTACAAGGGTTGTGCCCCTTCAGCACATTTTCTAATACAATTTTCTTTATTGCTGATAAAAAGAAATAGGCCACTACAAGACCGCATACAGTACTTGTGAAGAAGATAATTTTTGGATCTTATTTTTTGTCTATCAACAGACTACAAGGCCATTTATATAACGTTGTGAACTTGTTGGCTGATATTCAAACAAGTCCAACAGTTTAGTGGAAACAACACAGCCACCTACGATGTCGGGCAAACAAAGAGTCCAATGACTTGGACTCTCAAAATTCTGCTGTCTTAGGCAGAACTGGCAACTTCAAATCTTCCTAAAGGCTAAAGAAATGGTGTGATCCCCCACTTAATGGATGATGTAACTTTTGGGTACTGCATTTGAGACTGAAGAAATTATTACAACATTCCTCTTATGATCAAACATAATACATTACTCAATAAGAGAATGGTCAGTAGTAAGAACTGGTTCTTTTTTCTTTTTTTGGAACATGAAAAAGGAAAAACTGTTAGATATACAGGGGGAAAAATAAAAACAGAAACATATAAAGGCCCATCCTTGAAAGTATCAGTTATGAAACACACCCAATGTCCTACATCACTACAGTGCAGCCACTGAAACTGTGAAAGTATATATAATTATCAATAGTGTTCATCTCCATCTCAATGCCATTAAACTAGTTTTTTTAAAGTAAAAACGTATTAGAAAAGGCACCCAAAAACTGGGACATAGCCATGTACACCAAAACACCAAAAGGGTTAGATGACACAAAAAACAACACATAAATGGGTAGACTCCCAAACCCTCTTGCATTTTCCTCTGGCACACCCGCCAGTCCAAAAAGCAAACAACTCTTTTGTGTGCAAAGCATCAATCACACAACACTAAAGAGCGAAAACAATAAATTTCAAAGCTCCCTTGCCATTGGGCAATGCAACAAAAGGTGGTTGGTATCGTCCCCCATCTGCTTGCACATGAAACACAGCTCCACTAAGACATCTTTTTTTTGGATCAACAACAAAGAATTTTATTGATAAATCAAAAAACAGACGAGGATATCCTCTACAAATAAGAAAAAACAAAGGAAAGTAAAAAACATAATCCAAGCAAAGGCTACATCAACAAAGCTCCTACATGCCACACACCGACACCCAATCTCTAGCTAGCAAAAACAGTGGAATTCCTTTAAAAAGAGGGTTCACCAAAGCCCAAAAGGAAGTTAAGTGACTAATTTTATCCCACAGAAAATCCACATCCCAAGCTTTATCTTCAAAAACCCACGCATTCCTTTCCAACCATAACCCAAAAAGTTGCAAAGATGGTACAATACCACAACACTTTGGCCCTCTTCGATCCCCCCAATACACGAAAGTCTTAGTAGCATTTGCACACTACCCTTTGGTGCCACCCACAAAACATTCTTCAAAAGAAACCTGTGCCATTAGCTCAAAGCAACTAGACAATGCAAAAATAAATGACCCAAGGATTCACCATCCTTACAACACATAATGAGCCATTGAGGAGTTAGAAAATGATTAGGTCTCCTTTTTAACAATGAATCATTTGTTAAATGCCTCCATGAATCAATGACCACATGAACACCTTCACCTTAAGAGGAACACAAGCCTTCCAAATTTTTTAACAAAAAGGAAAATGAGGAATTTGAGGGTACTCAATGAAGAAAGATTTACAAGAAAAGATACCCGATCAATGAAGAGCCCAAACCCTCTTATCTTCCAAAAGAGACAATTAAGAAAAATGATCAAGTCTTGACAACAAAGATGTCAACTGTGCAACCGCTCTATCATTGAGATTCCTAGAAAAATTAAAATTCCGAGAGATTAGAGCCAAAGAAGAACAAGCCATGGAGGCAATACAAGTATTATGACACTGAGCCACTCTACAGAGATGTGGAAAATCCGAAGCAAAGGAAGAGGTGCCCATCCAAACATCCTCCCAAAATCGAACAAGTTCCCCATTACTCACCCTCACAGAAAGAAAACGAGACCAAAGTGAAAAGATTTGAGAAATTGACATCCACGGAGCCCAATAATTGCCCCTTGAGACCACTTGTGAATCCTTGCCATTATATTGAACCCCATAATTGCCTCTAATTACAGAATGCCAAAGTGAATTACTCTCAGATAGAAATCTCCACAACCATTTACCAAGAAGAGCCACGTTCCTAGACACAATGTTACCAATTGCCAAACCCCCTTCCTCCTTGGGGAGTGAAACTATCTCCCAATTCACCAAGCGATCCTTCTTTTCCTTATCCTTACCTTCCCAAAGGAAATCCCTCGTCAGCTTTTCTAATGACCTTGCCACCTTCACTGGGATCTTGAATTAACCTTACATTATCCAAGGTTAAAATGGACTCCTTAGTAGCAGTCCAAGAAAATAAGCCACCTTTGTTGGGACTTCGTAGAGAAGAATCACCAATCTATCAAAACGTGATCTAGAACAATCTCACTGAAAACAATTCGTTCATAGGTCTTCAAGCCAAGATGTCCTCCAATCCTCCTTGGATATAAGGATCTAGGAGCATCCCAAGCCCCAACAGATTCCACCTCCTAGTCATGAAAGTTCTCCTGAATTGAGGTGCCACACACCTCAAACACTAGGAAAAACTAGAAAGCCTGTCACAACTGCTTCTCTATCTACTGTAATTAGAAACAGTTCAAGAAAACCCACCATCAATGGGTGTTGGCCAACCAAATATCCTGTCAGAAATGCACTATGCAACCATTCGCCACTTTCAAATGAAAGATGGTAAAAAAATCTTCAACAAAACATCAGATTCAGTCAAAGATTTCGGTCCATGAGGGCTTCTAATAATATCAGTCCGCCCACCCATCAAGCTGCCATATTTCCCCCAAGATCACCCTCCTTCACAAACTCTCTTTTCAAGGAAAATCTCCACAACCCTTACCTAAAAGCCTGGTCAAATAATTCTAGCTTCCTAATTCCCAACCCTCCTTCCTTAACAGTTGAACACGCCCTTTCCAATACTTAAATTCATCCCTAAACCTCCCTACAAGAAATCTGTCATCAGTTTCTCAAGTCTTCACACCATATGCATACAAATAGGCAACCAGAACCATGATTTTTTTTTTTTTTTTCCCTCAAAACAACTTCACCAAAAAATACCAATAATTTTTTTTGTTGTTGTTGATAAATACACAAAAAAAATACCAATATGCGTGTTCTTTCTTCCAAAATCACATTTATTGAAGTTTAAAGTAATTCCTGGTAGATTTTATTTAATTTCTATGATTCAAATAAATGTACTAATTTTTAATTAGTTTTGAATCAGTATGAAGAGTTTTTATGCAAGTTACAAGTGTTCGATCTCCAAGTTTTCAACTTTTTCAACAAATCTAACCTAAAACAAAGTAGATTTAATTTAATAATGACAAATCTTCAAGGAATCAATTTATCAAAATATAAGAAACAAATTAGGGAAAAAAACATATCTAACTTCATCTAACCTTGTTTGCAACTGAATCTTGTGAACCTTGAAAATTGGGGACTCCAATGATGTAGATCTTAGGTTGCGTTTGGTAGAGTTTTGTAATTATGATTTGAAAGTATGAGTTGTATTTTGAGTTTGTGAAGTTTGGAATTATGATTTGAGTGTGGAAAATTGTTTGGTAAAGAGTTTTGGAAAAGGTTTTGAATTAAGTGGGGAATTGTTGATGTGACATTTGATATTTGATACGAAAATTTACAACTCATAACCAAACATACAACTCAAAATTAATTTAAAGTACATAAAAAAAATTTTAAAATTCAGAAAATATTTTTTTCGAATATATAAAAATTAACATATCAATTGTCAAAAAAAAAAAAAAAATCACCGTTTCAATCAACCAGCCGGACGACCGGTTAGACCAAATTTGAAAAAAAAAAATCCAAAAACCGCGGCTCAGACAGAGTGTTTTGTGCTGAGTTTTGGAAATGTGTTTTGAGAACTCTAACCAAACATGATGTTTGAATCAAGGTGTAGAATCATGATTACAAAACACAACCAAACAGAGCCTTATATTTTCAAGCCAAGTTTATGTTTTTTATGAGATTTCAATGACTAAAAGCTTAAAATAATAGTTTTTCTTTTATAGACAGATGTGCCAAAAAGCTCAATTGAAGTTACACTCGGGACTTTCATTCACATAGATTTTTTGACAATAAGAAGACGTGGTAACCACCGAAACCATTACGTAACAGCCACTACCGTTATGTAACAACACTTTTTTGAACCTTGGCCTTATCCCCCAACTACATTTGTGCAGAAGCTAATTCCCATGGCTAAAACTTGAGCCACAGTGCTGGAGGCAGATAGTTCTTGACATTGCGTTAGGTCATGACCAAAGGTAAACCCACCAAAGCCTCCTGCCCTATAAAGTTGTTCATATAAATTTTTTAAAATTTAGTAGCTTTGAAGGCCCACCACAAAGAATTTGCACAATAATATGGGTTTTATGGCACATGAAAATTGCAAATGAACCAGAAGTGATTATGCACAGACCAATTGGATCAGAGAAAAACCAATTTTTCTGAATTACGTGACCTTACAAGAGAAACTTTGTTAGTTGATTCCAACCAAGAAAATAGCAACCTTTGGGGAACCAAGTGACGCAAACCATAAAGAGCTTGAGAAAAAGTAAATATAAAGAGGTGGAAAATTTTGGAAGCTCGTTGGTTTTAAGTTGAGGCCCACTTGGGATCGCATAGTTGAGTTTTAGTATCAATAAGTCTTATTCTATCTAATTTTAGGCTTAGTGTAATGCAAGGAGTTTCAATAAAGTTTTATTAAATTTTAAGAGCTAGGGTTAGTTTCATAATTTTGGCCTTATCTAGACATGGATTTTACAGATTGTCCATGAGTCGTCTTATGGGTCAAGTTATTTAGTTGGTTTTTATTTATGGCCTTATTTGATTTTATATAGATTTTAGAAGTCAAAAGTTTAGTTTCCTATTTAGAAATTCTAATCCTAGTGGTCTCCAAAGTCTTTTTAAAGCAATGTAGTGCCTATAATAGATGGGAGAACATTCTTTGGAGATTTTTGAAAGCATTTGCAGCTCTTCTATAGCTTGTGTGATGCTAAGACTTTTTGCAGGTCTCCAAAGTCTTTTTTTTTTTTCTTTTCAATTTTTTTGCATTTGTAACCTTTAAAACAAGAAAACCAAATATGTATTAAACCTTATTCAACCCCCCAAACTTCACAGTTCTTTAACCCTCGCACCCTACTTGCAAAAGAATCCAAGACCAACAAAGGAATTGTTCATGAGTACTGTTCACAGCACTTGAAACAGTCCCCCCAAACAACGCCATAAATCCTCTTTTTACTCTCAAACCTCGACCTGTTATCATCTAAATACCAAACCTTACAACCTTATATTTTTACTAAGCATTCAGCCATATAACAAAATTTAAACCAGCATCAGCGATACATTAATTTTGGGCTCACTGCTAATAGGAGAGTGTTCACCACACTCGTACTCCATCATCAAGCTCTACAAATAAGGCTTAGAAGAAGGATTGCCCCTAATGTCAATGTGGTAATAACGAGTCCCAATTGGCAAAGGCCAACAATTATACTAAAATTAGCATTTCCGCACCAAGCATGTTAATTTATTACATATCATTTACAACATTTCCCAAATGAAACCAGATTTCTCTGTTGAAAAAGACTTTCAGTTGGAATATACTCCTTCACAGACCAAATATGCTTATATCTCCCTTACAAAAATCTTCACCGCCACGAGTTAAGGTGAACAATATTCATCAAGGAGATGTGAATCTCCAAGCTATTCCTTACTTTCAACACACACCCTGTCCTAACACATGACATGTTTCAAATCTTCAATCTCTAAGTCCACCTGTTACTGTGGGCAGTATTCAACTCTCACACACAAAAATGCCACTAGATCTATTACAACTGCTTGGCAACCAAAAAAGGCACCAAAACAAGATGAATCTATTAAGAAAGGAAACCAATAGAAACCATAGAACAATCTCAATTTTACACTTCTTTTGGTTCCAATGGTGATGGGTTATACACAACATGGGTAGGGCTACCCATGACATGACCAAACCAGATGAAGGCAGGATTACAGCTACCAAGGGACTTTACCAGCTAAGCTGACCAACACCTTTAACCAACTTGCATAATAGCTAGACAACCAATGTACTTTGCCATCTCTTGAGGACTACATTCTAATACCAATTGGAATGAATGCCCAAACGAAGATGAAAACCCAATTAGGCAAAAGGCATAAAAGGTATTGGCCAATAAGTTATCTTCCCCCATTGGAGCCCACTATCTTCAACATTTTCAATGCAGTGGATCATACTTATAGAGTTTGACAATTGAAGGACAAATAGACTTGGTACTTTTTCCTTTCAAATCCTCTCATTTTGGGACCAACTAATCCTTTCAGGCGAGTAAATAGCTTAAATTTTTTATTTGCTGCAATCTCACTAACTTTCCATACAGAACGGAACCCAAGTTGTCCATGGTATCCAGCACCTTTGTCTTCCCAATATCCCCATTTCTCCACCTCAATTTGTATATATATGTGTGTATAATAGTAAACATATTCATAAAAAAAAGTGCCTAAAGGGGAGCAACCTCCAGACAGAAGTATACAAGTAAAACTGTAAGCCATCTCCAAAGCTCATCTGCCCTATGAAAAATTGAACATTTTGTAAAAGTCTTTACTATGGATTTTCAGGCCATTCTGTGGTTTTTCATGGATCCTTTCATGCATTAAGTTAGATATCAAGGAAAATCCATTTTGGCTTCAAAAGCTACGTCTCTTTTGATGAATAAGAGAAAAAGAAGTATCATAAAAGTTTCCTTCAAGCAAAAATTCAAGTGACATAGCAACAGTTACACCAATTTTAAGAACAAATGATAGAGAGAACACTTTAAGATAATACAAAATAAATCTCCATCTTAACAGCCATACCTGGGTGACAATTACTAGCCTCTCAACAGCCTGATCATTGACAACCATCTCTTCATCTTCATCATCAATCCTTTTGGCAATAATCCAATCCAGATGAACAAGACAATAATTACAAATAAGTAAATTTATCAAGGTTATGACAAACAATCAGTAAAAAGTAAATATACTGTGTACTGCAACACTACAACTGACATATCTATTATTGTTAAATTACTAAATCTTATTTACTGTTATGCCTGAACAAATAACTTATTCCTATAGCAACTTATCCAAGATCAAGGAATACTGAGAAATAATCATAATGTGATTAAGTAAACTTCTGCCATGAAGAACTTAAATAATATTTTTCTTTCTTAAGAAATTATATTTCATCCAAAAATGCTTCAATTAATTTCAACAACCTCAAAATACAAGATGAGAAAGCGGAATTAAATATTGCTGGACAAATTTTATCAAACAATAATCCAAGAAAGGACTTTAAACCCAGCTCAAAGCAGAACGCCAGAAATAGCAAACTCTAAGAAAAAATAGCAACTCTACCCAAAAAAGGGAAGAAAAAATTCGTAAACATGGCTTCTAATACAAGAAAGGACTTTAAACCCAACTTGAAGCAGAACACCAGAAATAGGAAAATCTGAGCAAAATAGTAACTCTATAAAAAAATAAAAAAAAAATTGGAACAGAAGCTTCATAAACATGGCTTCTAATCCAAGAAAGGAATTTCAACCCAGCTCAAAGCAAAACACGAAATAAGAAACTCAAAGAAAAATAGCAACTCTACAAAAAAAGCAAAATCTACTGAGTATCAAATAGTTTCCCACAAGTAAGCAAATTTTAATACCTTGGACGCTTTGTTATTAGGATCATACAATTTACGATTCAAATTGCACAATTCGATTTGATTCAGTGGGTAATCGATACGAACAAGGTTGAATGAAATCCAAACAGCTGTGAATTGAGGATGAATCAATGAACTGTATCAGTAATTTGTTAATCGATCGATTCACTTTCGATTCGCTGAAATCAATTTCTGGTTTTCATTACTTTTTATTGTTGAAAAATGGTTCACACAACCCTTTTAAACACTAAAAAACAATGAACCTTCTCTCTCTACAATATAAGAGGCATATATATATTCAACTTTATACAAGTGTTTTCACTTATTCAAGGAATCTTTTGAAGGCATCAAGTGAGGCCTTTTTTTTTAAGTTTGGAGATTTGGGTTTCTTTACCCCCTTTGAAGTGAGTGTTTCTATCACTTTAGTTGTAATGTTAAAAACATTGTTGTTAAGATATTAAACCATGTGATCAACATTCAAAACAACATTTTTAAGTCTAAATAGTTCATATTTATCCTGACTTGACAACTATAGCCTAGAGTAACTCAACTAACCCTCACCATAAATAGGAAATAACAAGACCTGTAACCAAACTAGCTGAACTAATATGTAAAATAACTAAAAAATTCCATAAGATTATTAAGACATCCCCATTATACACACTCCTAAATATCCCTTAAAAATTCTGGAAGAGAAGGTTGTCAGATTTATAGGTTGAAGGTAAAGCCAACAAGCAGTTAGATGGCTCCATAGGAGGACTTGGATTCTGTGGAATTATCTCATTCACTTGAAAAGACAATTAACCTTTATACCCTCATAAGCTTGTTGGTAACTTATATCAGTTGGATCCCATGCCAACCAAAAATTACGACAAGTTCTAGACCAGAAAGCTACTGTAAATAACTTACTATGGAAGAGTTCTCCTAAGAAATCCCACATAGAGCTGAAAAGAGGAAACAATAATAGTAAAGTAAAATCCAAGAAGTCAGGATAAAGGCTTTATTCAGCAGAATGGAGTGCAAAACTTTATACCCTCCAGTGATTCACCTTCCTCTGGTGGAATCCTCTTCTCCTTCTGTTTTTATTCAGCATTGAAAGGAAAGAAAGAATAGTGAAGAAAAACAAAAAGGAAACATTGGCAATTTATACAGCACCAATTTGTAACTTGATATCTGTACCATAAAATAACTTACAAATAATCCTGAAAAAACATGTTAAAGAAACAAAATAGGGCAGCATGACACCATCTTAATTTATTTAAAAACAAAATAACAGAAAGAGAGCAATGCTCGACAAATGCAGGAAAAGGGGTGCCAAGCACAAGCAGAAGAATGTAATACCTTCTTACTGAAGAAAGATTATCCTTTTTAATAGTTTTTCGCTCAAGTTCTAGCTCTTCATCAAGCATGAATGTGTTTGCAAAATCATTAGCTAGGTTGTCCAGATTTTGTACAGCCAAATCTGATGATACGTCCATGCTTTCCATTTCATGGTTTTCATGATGAACATATTTTGCAGGCTCCATTCCTTGTGAGAAATCTGGACTGGGTGCACTTCCAATGGAGTCAAGATTTGAGAAGTGTATATTTAACTCAGAATTCAATCCCTTGCTTAAATCAACATTTTCTCCACCAAAGGCTTGTGTTCCACCATCAAACAGAGCCTTCTCAGTGTTCTGTTCGGCATTACTATTAGCTGATACTTCTATAACTTCTCTGTCTGCTGATAAGTTCTCCTCCATATTCTCATTATTTGATAGCTTCTCATCACTCTTCTTATCAAACTCATTCTTTGAAGCAACAGTAGCCTTCTCTGCAGCTTGTCCCTGGGGCCTAAGAGCTGTTGAGGATAATTTCTGCTCTGTTGAAGTTCGAATCCACTTTGGCCACTCGTCGCGTCTTCGTATCTTGCCATCCTACAATAATAACACCCAATCCAGGTTAAAGAAGGGTTTTACAAACAAAAAGCAGAGTACTGGAAGCAGAAGCATCACAAATAGACAACTTTACCACAATAATCAAAAAATTAAACAAATGCTGAGAGTTGGGTCTGTACTCATCACAAATATCTAACCTGCACTTCAATAGTAGAAGAAGTCTGCAAAGCATCAAGGATAAATGATACGTCTGTACTCATTTTCTTCACCTGCATCTCATCGTATGAGAAAATATCATAAGCTTAATAACTTGCACTTATTCAAGATATACAAGCAGATTATATACAAGTAACTTGATATCAAGCTACATAACAAAGGAGGGTGTGTTTGGTAAAATTGGCAACAAATCTGCATAATGGCAGTAAAATAAAATATCTTAAGCAGTTCTACACACCATATGAAAAGCATAACATAAATAATTTGCAGCATTCTAATATAAACATATGAAATTTGGTCAAACCATACCCTCTTAAATTCAGCAATTTTGGATATTGGAACCCAACCTTCGTCATCCATTAAAGAAATTAAGTAATGATCATTCTGCAGATTTCCATCACTGCCAGAACAAAAATTGACCAATTCAACAATTATATACATCATAGTCTACAACACAAAACTTAAACTTTTATCAACTAATTATGAAATAGAAAATGTCTGACAGGCAGGTTCAGGCATTCCAATGTTTCCAACATCTTCTACATAACAGTTAAACAAATCCATCATTATTAAAGGAGTCCTCAAGTCAATCGCATCCCTAATCACCAAGGATGGTTGGTGCCTTCAAAGGCCACTAAAAGACACCAGAACCATTCCACGTCCAAGATGTGTACATAAACATATATGACCACCTATTTATATCCCTGTGCACCAAAATGTGAACAAAGACTTGCATCGCATTGATGTACAGAACATATCATTTAGAAGTATGGACAATAGCCTACTTTTACCTAGGAAGGGTTAAAATCTACCAGCCAGAAACATGATCTTCTGAAGATGACTCACCTGAAATAATACTCAATTTGCTTCACTATGTTGGCTCTCAAACCTAATGTCTCGGGGGTTGCCATATAAGCCATGGTATTCAAAGGATGCGGAACAAAGCGTGGAGGCTGAGGTAGCCTAATAGGGCCAGGAGGTGCTGCAGGAAGATAGTACATAGATCCAGGAGGACCTGTTTCATATGGTCAAACCATTTCACAGTTCAAAAGAGAAATGGAAACCAAAAATAAATAACCATAACAAAGAAGCATAAATGCATGGCAGGAAATGAATATCATCTTATTAATAAATTTCCAATAAACAAGGACAAAATAGTATAAATTAGTTTATTTATTACTGCAACTTAATACCAAATTATTACCAGGAAAGCTTGGTCCAGCAACGAAGCCCGGAGCCAGACCAAAAAAAGGAGGCCTTACAAAAGTCCGTGGCCCAATACTCTGTTGCACAACAAAATTGTCTCTAGAACCAAACGCTCGTTGATTATGCCATGCAGGATTAAAACGGCCACCAGTTTCTTGCACATTAGGTCTTCTATTACAAAATTGGGCAACATATGCATTTGGATCACCTCGAGGTGGAGGCTGGAGGGTTCTATTTGCATCTATACCATTAGCAGGCGGAACAAAAGAGTGCATAGGTGTCTCAGAACCAGACTTCACCATGTTAGTTTCAACACCTGGAAAGGGTACAGGGTATGGTGGGTAAGCATATCCTGAAACTGGTGCATGCGGCACAGGTACCATACCGTGAAAAACCGGAGGCATTGGGGGTTGGTGATAGGGTAAGGGTACAGGAAAAGGAGGTACACCATTTGGATTACGCTTGGAGCCTGCCTTTTGATGACGCAATGGCAAGTGCTTATGTGAAGGATTATGGTTTCCAGGCCCATGCGATTTTTGCTGCTCTCCCAGTCCCTGAAAGACCATAGACAGATATGACAGAAAACAGAGTCAATAATACTGCAGTAAATCTGGAAAACAACTTACCTATTAATATTTACATGTAAAGAAAAAGTAATAGAAAGTAAATGTACAACCTGAAGTCATTCATGTTGGGTCTTATGTCTTAATGTCAAATTATCTCAAGTCTTCTTGTCTCACCCTACAACACTGTTTTAAAAGGCTCTAGGTGCACCGAGGCGATAAGATCTCCTATAGCCCAAGCGCGAGGCACAAGGTGAGGCGCACGCCTCACCAAAGCAAAGCGCAAGTAGTAGAAGAAAACCAAAATTATAAAATAGGCAAACTTCTCAACATAACAAATATATATAGAATTTCAAAAATTATAACAATTTCCGATAATCTTTAAACATAACATTCAATCTTCTAAAAACTAGAAATATAATATCCAACAAAAGATATAAAGCATAACATTCAATATTTTATCACTTTCTGCTCTCTTTTGACTATGTTTGGTCATTTTATATTCAAGAGTTTTCAATCCCTGTGGGTATGCCCACAAAAAAAGCACTTAATCAACAATTTGAGTAGAAAAATAGGTAAAGCCCATGAAGCCCACGCCTCGCACCTTGAAAAAAAGCCCTCGCCTCAGCACCTAAGCTGCGCCTTGCGTAATGCGCCTCACTTTGACCTATTCCAAGTGCAAGGTTGCGCCTCAGACTTAGGCGCACGCCTGCCCTACAATGCGCCCGGCTTTTAAAACACTGCCCTCCAAGATTTTAATTTTGTTCGTCCCAAAAAACATACACATAAGGTGTAATGTTCATGTGACGAGGAAAAGAGGGGATGCATCCACTCTTCACATGGAAGCTTCTTTTAAGTACCTAGAGTTGTTGGTGTGAAGGAGGTCCCCAAGACAGAGGTACGCTTCCCCTCTTCAAAGGAATTTACAAAAGAGAGAAGTTTGTTTGATATTGTTTTCATTTTTTATTTTTTCATTTTTTTTATTTTTTTTTTTATTTTTTTATTTTTTTTTTTTTGTGGTTTTGGAAACAAAAACAATGAAATGCCTGAAAAACACCCATCTATTTCATTTTTGTGCAAAATATTTTTTCAAAAAATCAGAAATTATTTTTCAATACAAAGTGTTTATTGGAAAATTGGGGTATTTTCGTAAAACTTATCCAAAAAGATTTTGTCAAACAAGTTTGCCACAATAGTTTCCCGTTTTGTATTGAAAAATAATTTCCAAAGCAATAACAAACACACATATTTGTGTATCACTATTTTTAGGATTCCATTTGTCGTTAGCTCCTCTTTTTAGGTCCTCTTTCACCTTTTCTCATTATTTTCATTTGATGGATTGGGATGGGGATGAGGATGGGCTTCTCATCCACCCTGCCATACTCAATTTTCTCATTAATAAAGTTATATTCTTAGCCAAAATTTTGAAGAAAAAGAAGTTTAAAATATGGAAGGAAAGAAACAAGGCGCTACTTAGAATATCCACTTTCTCAATAACATAACATGAAGATCATATCTAGTCATGATTTTAAAGCTGTAGACCAAACAAAGAAAGCGACAACTTTACAAAGAGTGAGATAATAGGAAAAGCGCAAAATTCCGAACTTCACAAGAGGAATTCGTTAATATCAACCCATAGTGAAAAAAGGCGTTGCGTAATCAAATTTTTGACAAAATAAATAAGGTCCACACCATTATATCAATGACTCGTGTCTAAAGACTTTTCCCTCAAAAAGGAACCCCACACAAATCCCTACACTTGGACAATCTGATCCGCCACTTCATCAGATAATGAGGACAAAAATCGGTTAAATTACTGAATCATTTAGCACTCAGGAATGATTTGTCAATCTCTTACTTCCAATCTGATGACACATTACTTATAAGAAAGCGACTATGATGCTAATGTAGTTAAGAGATACGCAATACTGACACTGGAGCTTTTCTTATCACTTTATTATATATGTCCATGAAATGATGAAAGATAGGGTGGTTTAGAAACATTTCCAAATAATACCTTCTTTAGCAGATTTACCTGGGATGAGAAAACTGCATATGGCAGCACTCATTAAACTTAGACATTTATCTATAGTAAACTAGTAACAACCTTTTCTTTAAAGAAAATACAATTAAATTCATTTAGATATCAGTTAAACACACATGATCTAATTTATAGACCTACCAAAAAAAGCAAATGACCCAAATTGCATACGAAAGAATAGGAATGTAAAGGAAAAAATAATAAGATCTCCCCATTTTCACAACATTTCAGTTATTATGAAAATACAAATCTTCAAATCTTGAGAAACAAATACAATATACTCAATACTTGGCAAACGCGTGTCAGCTAATAATTAAAAATTTCAAGCGTTTCCAATGCAGAAATGCAACTTCCATGAGCTCCATCACACAAAAGATGAAACTTTTTCTTCATTTTTTTTTCAATCAAAATCCATATACAAATCAATAGCATTCATCAATTCTCTTCAAATCAGCACATACACCTTTCAAATCACTACAAATTCATAATCACAATAAACAGAATCTGAGTTACCAGAGCAGGTGGAGTGGAAGGAGGAGCAACTGACGGCGGTGGCGGCTGGGGCTTGGGAGAGGCGGAATCCATAGTCTTAGGGCGCTGCAGCTGCTGCTGTTGCTGATGCTGCTGCGCATCGGAGAGTGCTGGCCACAAATCCGAACCCATGAGGGGAGCATCAGGGGTGGGCTTAGTGTGAACCACAAGGGGTATCTTCCATGGGGATTTGCGTCCACTCACTTCCCTCTGCTCATCCCCACTACCCTCATTCTCAGCGACCACCATTCGTGCACCAATCGATAAAATCTCTCAGTTTATAGAAATGAAATTCGAAAAGAGTAGTCGATTGAGCTGTTTTTGATAAGTGAGGAGAGAAGTAGCTTAGAGTTGCAGAGAGGTGATTTCGGGTGAAGAAGACGACATTGTTGAATGAATTTGGGTACAAGTGCGTGGGGGTGTTGTGAAGGTGGAGGCTGAGAGAGGAAGAGAGCGAGGAATTAGGGTTTTGAAAGTTAGGACCGAAGAAGAGTGTTGACAGTTGCAGATGGCACAAACCAATGTGCGGAACTGTTGTTGAAAGAGAGAGTGTTGTGCTGTGTCTGCCCGAGTTGCCCTACTTATATTTGCCGGGAAGGCCCCTTTCCTTTTCTATTTTTTCTTTTTCTTTTTTTCTTTTTTAGATATTATTTTGTTGTATTTTAATTTTGAAAAATATAATGGTTTGGTTTTTATAATTTTTTTTTAAATTTAAAAATTAATTTTATGAAATATTTATCATTTTAATGGTTTGGTTTTTATAATTTTTTTTTAAATTTAAAAATTAATTTTATGAAATATTTATCATTTTTACATATTTTTATACCATAAATAATTTTTAAAATATCTTTTGAATTTTTATTTTTATCAAATTAATTTTTATTTTTTCAAAACAAAATATGAAACTTGTTTCTCAAAGCAAACCAAACAAGCTTCAAGTCTTCAAGCACCCTCCAATTTTTCTTTTTATTAGTTAATAATAATAAATAACTAATAACTCTGTTTGATTTAGAATTTTCAAAACCTGTTCGTTTTTAATAAGTATTCTTTTGTTTTTAATATTTTAACCATTTTTTTTTTTACTTTTTAGATGTTATAAAAATTGTAAAACAAATATTTAAGAAAAATTCAATAAAAATTTTGTATGTTTTTGTATTTATTTATTTTATTTTATTTTTAGATTTCTTAGTAAATATTTTAATTTTTTAGTGTATCTAGATTAAGTAAATCTAAAATGTAAGAAAATTGACTAGAATATTTTAAAAAATTCACTAAAAAATATAATGATTAAAAATTCAAAACAATATTTTTGAAAATTAAAAACCATGGATGAGTTTTTAAAATTTTAAATATAAAAAATAATGCAAATTTCCCAAAAATTTGCATTCAATATTAAATATATTTTTTTGTAAATTAAAAATATCTATTTAAGCTAAATTAAAATAAATTAAGTATGTGTGTGAGTGATTTTCTGACCACACTGTCCGCCTAGTAATCAGCTGGAGAGCACTGGCAGAATAGATGGCTTCAACTAACTTGTAACAGAAAGAAAAGGCTCCGACGGTGGTTCTTCCACCCGGGGCACTCCGACGATCAAGTCAGTATATCTCTCAAAGATATTCAAATGCTAAACTCACTACTCAAAGCATAAAATTGCGTACCTTAGACCCACGGGGGTGCCTCTCTTTTATACTTAACTCAATCTCAGTCCCACTAGAAGCCTAACTTCTATGGACTCCTATCCAATGCTTACTTTGGATTTTTCAAAAGATAAAGATAAATTCCCTGAGAGCTTTATCCTTATCTTAGCAAAGTCTTCTCTTTACTCTAGGACTCTTGCCCCTTATCCATTATCCGCTTATCTCGGATTCCGATATCTTCGGAGATAACCTCGGCCTCGCCGAGATAACCTCAGCGTCACAACCAGGACACGTGGCACCTCGGCTGACACGTCGGGGTCACCTTGCCACGTGTTGGTATTCAGAAAATACATCCCCACAACTGCCCCCTATGTTCTATTACCTCGGCATTCTAAGGTGATGGAACCTATATCTGTATTTTCTTCTAGTAAATCGGCTTAAGATTTGTCAGCCGACATCATTCATTTCTGGCCGACATGCCTTCCCTAAAATCAAGATTTTTAAGGAACTTCTTACGCGCATGAGCTGTCATACGTTTCCTTTTTATTGGTTTGTACACTTGGCGCGCTTGTTAGCCATCTCTTTTTTCACGTGCGCCGTCTGACGCCCTCATTCTTATAGGCGTATTGATTGCTTTTGCCGCCATTTCTGTTTAATCAAAAACTTTTTCCCTTTTTTTTCCGTCTCTTCACTTTTTCATTCGAATCTCCTGCTATCTCTCTCTAACTTTCGAAATCCTCTATCGCTCAAGCTTCCAAAGCTCTGCAACCTCCTCCATTCACCCCTTCCGGCAAGATTTCCACCGGTCTTCTGCTCCTGCAATCGTCGTAGGACATCGGCAAATCCCTTTCCGGCTTCCCTTTTTCTAGTAAGCTATTGTTCCTTTCGTTTTCATTTCTCTAACGTTTCTGTTTTCTTGCTATTTGCCATTATTGTACTGTTTTAAGCTTCTTTAATTCATAAATCGTACATCTGAATGCATTCATCCCTGATTTTTGCCTTTGCCTATACTTTGAACACACGCACTGTTTCACCACTTCTTTGCACTTTTGCCACTGTTCTTGGCCATATACTCTTGTATTCTTCATGTTCTTGATAGCCCATCTCAATTCTTATTTCTGAAACTTCGTTTTTTCTGTTTTTTGTATCTTTTCCAGATTCTTGCTTTCAATCCGTGTTTCCATAGATTTAGGTCTGGGATTTGTATGTAGTACTCATAACTTAGGAAAAAACTGAAACCTGCACCTTCTTCATTGTTTGCCAAGGTCCCAATAACCTTTTAGAAACATCTTCTGAGACCCACCTTCTAAGATTAAGCCGATATCATGGGTATGTGGAAACATTTCTTTGCACTTTTGCCACTGTTCTTGGCCATATACTCTTGTATTCTTCATGTTCTTGATAGCCCATCTCAATTCTTGTTTCTGAAACTTCGTTTTTTCTGTTTTTTGCATCTTTTCCAGATTCTTGCTTTCAATCCGTGTTTCCATAGATTTAGGTCTGGGATTTGTTTGTAGTACTCATAACTTAGGAAAAAACTGAAACATGCACCTTCATTATTGTTTGCCGAGGTCCCAATAACCTTTTAAAAATATCTTCTAAGACCTACCTTCTAAGATTAAGCCGATATCATGGGTATGTGGAAACATAGGGTAAACACCCCTTCCAAACTAGAATACTTTAGACAGAAGTCTAAGATCCCAGTCGACGTCCATTTGAGGTTGGCTAGGGATGATGACTCCATTATGCCCACT